AAATAAGGTCATATTCACAGTTTCCATAGGTGAGGACCTGGACATACCTCAGAGGGCCCCATTCAACCTACTGTAATGTGAAAGTGTTTGGGCAGAGAACGAGCTGAAACAGAGATATGTCATCCTAGCTGTAAAAACAATATCACCAACTTAATGTCTATAAACACTTCAGACCAACCACCACAGGATACTTATCTGAGATCTAAAGAGATTTGCTTTGAATAAATAAATAAAATAAATGGTAACGATAAACAGCTTTCAGACAAAGATCTTATGACCAAGTGACAAACAAAAGTCATATATGTTGGTGCCATACATTGCATAACTATTAATTTTTGACCTGTATTTAATTAACTTGACTTTTATTGCTTAAGACGGTTTTACTACCTCCTAATCGATTCGCTTTTCTTATATCAAAATTTAGGAACTTCAAAATATTAGTTCCTGATAGAATTCGTTCAGAAACACCTTAGTGGAAGTTCAGCTCTCCTAAAAGTCAATCTTTTGCTAAACCATAATTCTTCTCTCCTTCAAGATTCTTATTTTTAATCGACAATAATATTAGGCACACTTCTGGGTTTAATGCTTATTCGTCACTTAAACCAATGGTAGACGTTTAAGAGAAGCTTCTAAACTGGTCATCGCATATATGATTGAATATTTGTTACAACAAACAATCAACCAACACACCCTAAAAGCCTTCTTTAATTCAGATTCATGCTCATAAATGAGACCCTGTTAATATTTCATGCACAGCCTCTCCCCATTTACTTTATAATATTTCTGTAATGGTGGTTGAAAAATACACTATGCTCCTATGAGTAATGAAAAATTCAAATGTGTTTAGAAAAAATCTTCAGCTACAATTCAAGTAATGTTGCTTAAACATTTCTAAAAGGACCTCTGAGCCTCTGCTCCAAACAAAACTCATGCTTCCTTCAGAAGCATGGCTGGGTTTCCTAGTCAGAACCACTGGGTGGGGAGAGTCCATGCATGTGGGAGCTGGATGTCAGTATCATTGCCAGCACTAATAATTATCTTTTCTATGATATGTAACATATTTTCACTAAAAAAAAAACCCAGGTAATCCCATTGTGAAGGAGCAAGTGGTGATAAGAGATATGCTCTATCCCATCCATCTCGCCAGAGACATGGTCACAGACAAAGTCAAGAATCCCAGAGCCATTGAGCTCTCCATTGGGATCAACTTTATTGTCAAAGATGGAATCAGCAAAGCTAATCCTGCTGTCCAAAACAGACCCTGCATGTTGACTTGTAAATCAGTTAACTTTTCCACATCTCTTGATTTATAAAATGCAGAATGAACTTCTGTTTTTTGGGAAACTGCAATAGCTCAACATTTAAGTGTTTGTAGTTACACTTGATGATTCAAAGGGCATATGGATTGACATGTTGCCACAAATTACTTTTATCCATACTGTTGCATGGGAACGAGTCCTTAGGGAGTCCTTCAGCAAAGACTCATTAATACATCTGAGTAAAATGACAAATTTTTATAAAATCAAAAAATACCTCCTATTATGGAAGCCTTGCTCAAAAATGGAGGTTATTTGATAGGAAAATTCATGATTTCACAGAGATTTAGGCTCTGTACCAACTCATCAATTGATTTCCCCCCCTTTTTTTTCTATCAGAACTCAGTGAAATAATTATATTAGTTTAAACTGTTAGTTGTGTTTCTCCCCAGTTTTCTAGAAATAGTTGAAAGTAAAATGGAAATTTTAAGTGACTAGAATAATTTAAAAACCTAAACATAAAATAAATTAAAAGCCATTATTCCAAAGCAAACTTCCACTCACATTAGTGCAATTAGCATCTGTCAAACATCTGGCATAGCTCCAACATACAATACAGACAGACTCACAAAGCAGATCATGTGTACACCCACCTACAATCACTTCCATGAAATCTTGAGGAAAATAATTTCCTGAAAACATTATACCTTATTGTAAATGTTTAAATAATTCCTAATAATTCAATACATGTTTACTATAAAGAAAATATAGACTAAGTGATCTGAATACATGACTAAAAGATTCTTGTCTTTATAATGAATTTTAAAAGTTAAGCATCTTAAATATAAAAGAATATCAACAGTTCTTTCCTTCCCACTGATCCTCTTTCCACATCCCATTCACCAACCAAACCCTCTTATGATATCATCCCACCAAGTGCATCTTTGGCCTGTCATGTCGCCCAGGTGTGTTTTCTATTGAACCTATTTCTTCCTTCCTCTCAGTTTCTGTGATACATTTTTTTCCCCACTACCTAGTTTTCTCCATGCTCTTCCTTGGTAGAATCATTAAGACACACATTTCCAAGTATATAACCATGTTTCTAAAAACAACCAACCTCTTTTATCCCAGCATCAAGTATTTTTAGCATCGTATTAGGATTTCCATGAAAAAACCTCAAATGCAGAACATCTAAAACTGAATGTCATTCCTTCCAAACTGCTTCATCCTCCAGGGTTTCCTTTCTTGGTTGACATAATACCATCCTCTGTCAGTGAGCCAAGCAAGAACACTCAAGGTCCTTCTGGGCTCTGTCTCCGGCTTTGCACATCCAATCAGTCACTGTCCCCAGCTTTCTTCTTCTTCTGAATAGCTTCTCTTCATCCACTGCTGTTGTTCTAGTGCAGACCTTGACTGGCATTTCCAAAGTCCCTTTTCCTGTTTTACCAATCTACCTTGTATCAAGTCCTCTATTTTTCTCTCTGCTTCATCTTCCCATCCTAAAAATACTCCACGAGTGAACACAAGTTGTACAAGCATATGTATTCATGATTTGGCCCAAGCCAACCTTTTTTGATTTTTCGCCTAACATTCACCCTACACTTAACCAAACTTCTTACGCCATTTCCCAAATACGATGTGGGTGCACCTGGTAGACTGGTACACCACATCCATCCTAGTTGCCTTCCTGCACTACAGAGGTTGAAAGAATGAAAAGCTGTCTCCCTGACTGTCTTGCCCCTGAGATCTGATTGCTCTTTGGTTTCCATCCACCTGGTGCAATCACACAAGATGGAGAAGGCAGAAGTAGCAAGGGCCACACTACTGTTGCTTCTGCTGTTGTAGCTGACGCATCTGTTGGGACGATGTTTGTTTTTCTCTCCAGCCATGGAGATCATAGGTCTAGTCACTGGCTTCTTTGATGCTGAGTGCCAAGATATGGACATTTAACTTGTGTAGGTGCTAGCAGTCACTGAGAATCAGTACCTGTGGCATCAGCTTCTCAATTTGGCTAGAGGCTTCCTGATTGAAGAGAGGGTGTAACTATGTTGGTAGTTCTGTGGTATAGTTTTCAGGTCATCACTGAAAGTCCAACTTAAAGTCTCCCAGTGATTATTTTCCGGTACTCAGTCACTCTCTGCTTAAATAGCTACGGTGGGTTCTGTCTTATGCAACTGAATCCTGAGTGATACGCATGACATACACTTTAAAATCTATGGCTTTACAAGAATGCTCTTGTTTTTATATAATTAGTTTGTTCTCACTCATCCTTAAAGGCCTAGGTCTGGAATGCATTTCTCTACTTTTATGACCCAGCAATTGCTTCCTTCTCTATGGTAACATATACATTTGTTAATATGATTATATTAATACTACATACTTATGAATATTTTTATTTGCCTTTTCCTATCTGAATCTGAGATATTGGAGTGTAAGGAATATGCTTTGCTTAGTTCGATTCTCTAGTTTGGATGCTTGGCATATAGTAGCATCTCAGAAAACATTGGGTGAAATGAACTGAAATATGTTGTAAGACAGGGACTAGAAGCTTTACCCTCTAGCATGAAAGTTGTATTAAGTGAAGCCAAGCGGGGGTTGGAGGACAGAGGAGACAAATGAAAAGGTGTAAGACATTAACTACAGATGGGATTTGGATCTAGGATAAATGGCCATGGATTCAAGTGTTAAAAGAGGGATGACATTTGATCTTGTTAAGAAGACAAAGAGAATATTTCAAACCTTAAGAGAAGTAGGGAATGCAGAAAAACAATGAGTGGATTAGAAAAAAATAAATAGAACCTGAACAGAGGTCTAGTTTAGGGGAACTATGACAGATGAGTCATGGAAGAAAGATTGCAATCAGCTTGGAGAAGTCTGAAATTGGCAAGACTATGGAGTATGATGATTTTTATACAAGTAAGAGAAAATTTTGAAGGAAGAAGCATGTTGTACAAACCTGGTTAGACAATTGTGAGAGATCTGAAAGTCACTTTTTTGTTTTGTTTTGTTTTGTTTTCAATTGGAGTCTCACTCTGTCACCCAGGCTGAAGCGCAGTGGCGTGGCTCATGGCTACCCTAGCGTCGACCTGCTGGGTTCTGGTGATCCTTCTGCCTCAACTTTCCAAGTAGCTGAAACTGCAGGCACGTGCTACCATGCCTGGATATTTTTTTTTTCACTTCTGATGTTTGCTCAGTCTTCTATTCTTCCCTGATAATTTTTTTATTTATTGTAGACTCGCCAAGCTGTCGGGCTGGTCTTGAACCCATGGATTTAGGCGACACACTCACCTCAGCCTCCCAAATTGCTGGGATGCCAGACTGAGCCACCAAGCCTGGCATGAACGTCACTTTCTTTCTCTGGTTGATATGTTTTAAGGAAAATAATACTAAAAACTATATTCAGGACAACCAGACTCAGATGCCTAGCATTTGTCTGTATTCTAAAAAGTATCCCAAAGTGTATAGCAGAGATTTTTAAATACATCCAAGGGTCTTTTGCTCATATGAAGTTATAACTCTATAAACATTATTAGAAGGATCACTCAGCATGCTTCATCATTCGGACGATATTAATTTCTTACCAGGCAAAAGGAAAGAGCTTAGAAAAGTAAGTTTTGTGGTTTCTTCATCAGCTTTCATTTATCCAAATAATAACACCTCAGAATATCAAATACATTACAGCTTGTCCCTAGGACCTTGGCTGCATTCGTGTATATGATCAATGATCCAGTTCTGTTAGCTTACCCTTCCTGCATAGTGCATGATGGTGAACGTTGTTCCTTGACCTTTGAGGGCGACATTCCCATTCCCATCTTTAACAGGCGAATACACTGCATTTGTGTTTGAGGATTCTAGGAGACTCTGTAGCTTTTTGGGAAGGCTTGATTCCATGGACCAAATCATTTGACTTTCTTCATCCAATAAAGAGAGCAATCCAGATGGCTTCTGAAAGTTTAAAAGGGATAGAGTGTTGTTTCATCCATTACTTAGTTTGACATCTTTGTTATTGTTCATGCACACTCATTTATATTGTTGTTATATTCACATAGACATGCAGACAGTGAATCTGTCTTTACTTTTAATACATTTCTATTTTGGCTCACTTTTGTCTCCCTGCCACCGAGCCCAGCTCTGATTTTTCCACAATAATAGTTAACAGGCAGATGGACAAATAAATGACAAATGTACTTTACTGTTATAAATACTGGAGTTGTTTAAAAAGTACATTTTCCTCTTAATAAGAAAAGTAAAATCTCAAACTACAGAAAAGCTGTCATTTTTCTTGCCCTGTAACTCATATCAAATACTTTATGTGTCTTACATGACAAGCAACTTTAAAAAAATAAAACCCATAATGATGTTAAGCCATAACTATTGTGGCAAAATTCTACTCAGCAAGAAAGAAAAGAGAGTCTATGATAGTTCAAAATTTATTTCTAGGAAAAAAGAAAATTTGCAACTTTGACTTAAAGAACTTAAATGAAAAGTTTAATCGTTTATAACTGCCAAAGAAACTGGAATGATATGCATATATAAATACATAAACATATATATGATTCATACACACACACACACACACACACACACACACACACACACACACCCACACGTGGTACGCAACAACTTAAAACAAATCTCACTTGAAGAAAAATGTTGCTTAAATAACATCCCAGTCTGTATATTCCAACCCCCTACACACAGAACACTTTCTGGTCACATGGTTTACAAAATAGTAGAATAGTTTTCTTCCCGTTGCTTTTTATCTTTTTCTTCTCCTGAGTCTTTCAAGAAAGTTCATTGACATTTCAAATCTACCTTTCATTTTTAATTTTTTTAAATTAAAAAAAATTATTGTGATAAAATATATGGCACACAATGTATCATTTTAACCATTTGTAAGTGTACAATTCAGTAACATTAAATACATTAACAACATTATGCCACTACCACTATTATACATTTTTAGAACTTTCTCATCATATCAGGCTGAAACTCTTTACCCATTAAACGATAACTCCTATTCTTCCTCTCCTCAACCCCTGACAATTTGTCTCAAAGGCAAAAGACTAATCACTACTATTCTACTTTCTAGGTATTTGCCTATTCTAGGTATCATATAAAAGTGGAATCAGACAAATGTCCTTTTGTGTCTGGTTTATTTCACTTGGCATGATTTTTTTTTCCAAATCTATCTTTTAAAATAAGGTAACATATACTATTTCTTTACATGAATCTATCATATATCTTAATTGTTCTCATTGCACTTTTAAAAATGTGAATACCATAAAAATAATCATTCCCAGAAAATGAAGAAAGATATTGAAAGATATTGACCCCTGTAGTGAATTCAGTTTGTATCTGACCTGAGGTCGCCAAACCCTATCACCATATGGCATTTATTTGGCTAATGCGAGTCCGTTCACAATAGCCACAAAAAAATGAAATACCTTGGCATCTTCCTAACCAGAGACATGAAAGACCTTTACAATGAAAACTACGAAACACTGCTCAAAGAAATTAAGTTGACATAAACAAGTGGAAAAATATCCCATGCTCATGGATTGGAAGAATCAACATTGTGA